TAATTCCCCCTCCCCAATCTGTAAATCTTTATCTCAGGGAAAAAAAAGTGAATGTTGGGGGTTTGTTTGAAGATTTCTGTGGGGTTGAAGGAGCAGGGGAGTGTCCCCCCAGCCTTCCAAGCCTGGGACCACAAGGCACATCCTCTGCAGGTCCTGGCTGCTCATGGGTGTGATGAGCCCAGCGTGCTCAGGGGGTGCTGAGCTCCAGGCACAGGGCTTGGGGGGGGGTTATCTGAGGACACACAGCCACATCCCACGTGCTGAGCTGAATGGGGAGGCATTTTGGGAGTCCCTGGGTCGGTGGGAACAGGGAGGGGTTCTCAAACTCAACTCAGAGTGCTCGACCCTGCCCCAGGAATTCCAGCCCTCCCTGGGGTTGCTGGTGGGGGGGAAGTTGGGGGAGCTCTGGCTCTGCTGCTGTGGTTGTTTCCATGACAATACTGAGCCAAGGATGCTGTAAAACCAGAGATGAACCTCCAGCATCTCACAGGGTCTGCTGGGTGTGTCTGTGCTGCCACAGCAACCCCCTCCTGCTCCAGGGGCCTTCCTTCCCGAGGGAGATGAGGAACAGCGGTCACAACAGCCCCTTCCTGGATGTGATGGAGCTGGCACAGGGAGGAACAGCTGTATTTCCCTCCAGGTGTGGTACTTTGTGCTTCCTGAGCCCCTTCAGGGCACTGTCCCCTGTCTGGGCACCTCAGGGGGGGTTGAGTGCACTTTGCAGGGTGTGGAGGAGGCCCCAGGGACTCTTCCAGCCCAGTGAGTCAAGCAGGACTTTGCTCCCATTTTACAGATGAGGAAACTGAGGCCGAGGGCAACAAGAGTGGGGAGAGCCCAAACTTCCCAGCTCTTTGCAGGAGAAGGTTCATTACTCACAATAAACCTTCAGCCCACCTTCGAACCCAGCCACGACTTGAATCAGCAGAGAAAATACCATCTACCCTCCTCAGATGGAGCCGTTTGGCACCTGCTTTGCCTTTCTCCAAGCAGGACCATCTTCCATGGAGCTGCCAGTGCCTCCAGCAGAGCTGGAGGGGGGAGACAACTCCAGCTCGAAACAAGCCATGCATGACTCAGGTCGTGTCTTCATTTCCCCATAAATGAGTGCCAAGAACAGCTTCAGATGTTAATTGCCAGGGAGAAGTGGATCCTTTTGGACGTAACAAGGCAGGGGGAGAGGGAAGCTCTGTGCCTTTGGCAGCACTTCTGATTTTAATTGCAGCCTCTTGCATGTTCACAGATGAACTTTGCCGCCTGCACCGTCAGCTGGAGCTTTGTTAAGATTTTTTCAAGGGATGCTCCAAGCAGAAAACCCTGACAAAAGTCATGGAAAGCCACCAGGAATAGAAAGCTGAGCTGTCTGCACCGTATAATGCTCTGCAGCCAGTTTGAAGCAGATGCTGAATTAATCCCCAATTTAATTAACGCTGCTCTAATCCCTCCGCTGAAAAGAGCAACCCGGGATTTGTTGGGAAGCGCTGCCCCGTTGCACAGTAATGGGTGTTAATGTGTTGAAAACTGCAGTCATCGAGGAGCTTTCTGCTCCGTTCCCATCCTGGGATGGGCTAAATGAATCCACAGGCTCTGAGGAGTGGGATTGGAGGTGAATGAAGGGGCTGTGGTCGGGCTTCCCCACCGGGACAAAATCAGGTTAAACACTCTCAAGGTACAAACCAGACCCCCGAGTGATTGGAATTTATTCTTAAGTTTCTCTGCCACCCGAGCCAATCAATCAAAGGGGTTTCAGGGTTGTTTTTCGCCCCGTTGATGGGTGATTACAAGAAAATGGGCTGAAGGAAATAGCAGTGGCTGGGCGTGGGCTGGTGCTCAGCCCCGAGGCTGCAGGAGGAGCCGTTCAAAAACGATGCTAAAACCCTTCAAAAACGGTGCTAAAGCCGTCAAAATTAGCAAATCCACGCCTGGCCTGTGTCTCTCTGGGGATGTTCTCGCCCCTGGTTGCACCTGTGCAGGCTCAGGGTGACAGGCAGGGTTTGCCACTGAGCCTTTTTGGGTTTATTTTGCACAGGGGTATTTATTTCAGAGCTAAAGGCACCCAAATCAGACTGTCTTGTGCTTCTGGGTCCTGTGAGACCTTCCTTTTCTTTACACTCCCAGCAAGTATTTCACCCCCACTCATGCTCCTGAGCCCCAGCACAGAGCTTGGAAACATTTCTGGTGCAGCTGATGAGTCCTGGTCCGGGATTTCATCAAAGTAGTTGGGTTTTTAATTTTTCTCTTTTAGTGGAAAACAGCTATTTTGTAGAAAATGAATTTTTTAGGGGAAGCGAGAGTTTTTCAAAGCCGGTTTCATGTTTATAGTTTCATCCTCTCCTGTGTTTCGTGCAGGAAAAGCAGTGAATTCTGCCTGGGTTTTGGCAGCTCTTCTGAAAAAAATAAATAAATAAAAAAAGCTGTTTGTTTTGTCCTCCTTGTTGTTATCACTGATGAAAACTAATAACTGTGTGTATTTTAAACCCAAAGTTTCTTCTGTGGTGTAGAAAATGCCTTCCCCTCCCCTTCCACGGGTACCACTGGCTCCATGCCAGGATTTCCTCTTTAAAATTACAAACCCTGTAGCTTTTAAGTCTTCTCTTTCTGGATTACCTGCAAGGTTGTGTTTTGTTTGGTTGAGGTGGATGGAACAGGGATTTTCCCCGTGGATGGACCTGCACACACACACGGTTCAGGTCGTGGGGAATTAACACCTGGTCGTGGGGAATTCATGGAATTAAAAGTCAGAGCTGAACACAGACCCAGGGCAGAACAAGTTTGGATGGGAAAAATGTTTCTCTCCAAAACAATTCCCGTCGCCCAACAAATGAGATTAAATTGGAGCTTTCTCATCCCACTCGTCAGGTAATTACCGAGGGGAGCATATGGAGGCTCCTCCCGAGCGCTGGAAGTGGATCAACACCAGGCAGAGCGATGGAAATGGGTGGGATTGGCAGGAGTGGGGAATAACAGGATTGGAATTGAAGCTGGACGAGCTGGGGGGTGCTTGGGAAGGGGTTTGAGCCCATGCTGGTCTGTGCCCACCCCGAGGGCTTGGGCAGCTGCAGAGCCCAGGGGGATGTTGAGCAGAGGGGAGGTTGGATGGGGGTGTTCTACATCACCAGAGATTTTGGGGAAAGCTGGCCTGGACCCTCAGGGCAGGGGTGTTTTGGAGGGGCAGCACTAGAAGGGGTTGGGAGAGGGGGAGACCCTCAAAAGGGACCTTTCTGGGGGAGCAAACACAGGGTCAGAGAGTGAGGGAGCTTGGATGTACCAACACCCGTCTCTTGGAGGGAGGGAGGGAAGCCCAAGAGCTGAGAAAGGAACATGTGGGGCAGGGGTTGGGCACAGGGGTCCCAGATACAGGCTGGTCCCAGTTACAGGGTTGTGCTGCTTCCTATCATGGGAAAGTGGTGGGGAGGGACTCAGGTTTTGATCATTGGGTCTCAAGCAGAAGTGGAGGCCAAGAGAAGGATGGTTGGTCAATGCCAGTCCTGCTTTGGGAGGCTTTAGTGGAGGGAAAAGCCAGAACTGGCTCGTTTCTCTGTCCCACCAAGATGGGATCCAGGGAGAGGTGCTCCAGTGGTTGGGGCTGAGACTGCCCGAGCACATGGAGAGCTCGCTGCCATCCCAGAATTTCCCGGGAATTTGCAAGACCCAGGGGGAGTAACTGATTCAGTCAGTCCTGTTTACCTTCACGTTGCTTTCCTGCTGCTTAGATAGAAAAGCTGAGCTTTAAAAGGTTCGGGATGAATGACCTGCTCCAGCTGCTTGTGGTGCAGAGACTGCTGAGGTCAGACACGTGGAGATGCTGCTGGTGGACACGTCCCTGTGGCTGCAGACTGGGAACTTCTGTGGAGCCAACACAGGGGGGGGCTTTTAAAATGTTTTTTGTTCCCAAAGGCTGAAGAAATGTGTGGTTTGTGGCTGGCAGGGAGGGCTGTTTGCTCAGGAGAGGGGGAAGGGGACAGCAGTGTGCCTGGCTGGGAGTCTCCAGAGGTCTCTGGCCCAACCATCCTGGATCAGTGCTGTTAAAAATTGAAATTAAAATAGCAGCAAAACACCAAGGAATAGTAAGAAAGTAAAGAATGATTCATCTCTAAACGGAAGCTCTTTAGATGTGGAGGTGGCATTGCTGGCCACCAACGTGGATTCACAGAGTGGGTAACTCAGCTTTTAGGCCAAATTATGCACTGTTAACAACTTCCTTTGCAAATCAGCCCCCTCCCCAGCCTTAATCCCACGTGTTCCCTCAGGTTTGTTGGGATGTGAGGTTGTAGCGGCAGCACTAAAGGGAGGAGGGTTTTGTGCCCCAGCTGTGTGGAGATGCCTGCGTGGTCAGAGGAGCCCAAAGTGCTCATTTATCACACCCAAGGCTGATTTGCAACCCAGTAATTCTGCATCAGAATGTTTCTTTCGGGCTGTTTTCAGCACTGGAGAGTAGGAATGTCTGTGTTTGGGGGAAGGAGGAGTTTATTTGGTTTAGTGATACAGGTTTATGTTCCATAACCAAATATCAGCTCCAAATGAGATGTCACCTCCTGTTTTCTCTAGTTGGCAAATTCAAACCAAGCTGAAGAAACCCTGAGTGTTCAGGGGATGGGAGCCTTTGGGACAAGCAGGACCAGGTGTAAGGACTAAGAGCCTGGAGATGTTCTTGGTCCCAGCAAACCCCTCTGCTGGCTTTCCTTCCTCCATGCCCAAAAGTCTAATGATCCAGGCTGAGCATTCCCAACTGCTCATCTCCTGCTCTAGAGCATCCTGGATTTACCAGATGTCATTTTCCAGGGAGGGGCAAATGCCCCCATGGAGGTGGGCGCTGTCCCACCCACCACAGCCCGTTAACTTCCCCCCTTCTTCTCCTTCTTCTTCCAGAGGAGACAACGTTCGAGGCTGGAGTCAAAGTCCAGATCCACAGCCAGTCCGAGCCACCCTTCGTCCAGGAGCTGGGCTTTGGGGTGGCCCCTGGATTCCAGACCTTTGTGGCCACCCAGGAGCAAAGGGTAAGTGCTGAATGTCATTTCCACACCCGGATCCTCGCAGCGGGTCCCTGTGAGAGGCTGTTCCTGTGCACCGACGCCCTTTGAGAGGCACCTTCATCACCAACACCTGGTTTTGTGCTTTGCCTCCAAAACTGGCTGGGATGAGGGCAGCTTTCTCAGCATGACTTGCAGGGAATTGCCCACAGTCCTTGTCATTTCAGCCCCAGAAGGGACTTCAGCCCCTGTAATTTCCCTGCCTCGTGGCTCGGCCGTGGCAGCCGCTCCGCGCGCGGGGGGCCCGTCCGACCTGCCGAGCTCTTTGCCAGAGAGCTCTCCCACCACAGGGCTGTGAAAAGAGAAAAGGGGAGAGCGTTTTCATGACGTGGAGCAGCGTGAAATCCTTTCAGGTGACAGGGGAATGGCCCCATTATTTGGCTCAGGATGCCCCGGCGGTGACAACATCGGCGTGGTGCCGATGGACGTGACGTGACGTAGCAGCACAGAACCCAAACCCTCATTAGGCATATGGGAAGCTGGCCAGTGGAATAGGTTTTCCCCCTCCCTCCTCCAGTGCTTTCATTCCAGCTCTCTGGTTTTTCCTCCCTGCTGCTGCACCCACCCTCAAACGGGACGTAAATCAAGCGGAGGGGAGCGAACACGAGCTGTGGGGAGGGTTTGCTCTGATTGAACCTCCGTGGGGATCAGGGCTGCAGTTGTTCACTCCAAGCTTCAGAGCAAGGCCAGGTGCAGGTGAACCACCCAAATTTATCACTCAAGCCTCTCTCCCCGTGGGCAGCAGGTACCAGAACACACCAGAACACACCTGGAGACGCTGCAGTTCTTGCTGCTCTTCTTTACGACTCGCTCGTGTGGGATCGTCCAGGAGATCAGGGGTGGTTTGGGCTCCAGGTGGGCGAGTGCCAGGTGGAAACTTCTCAATTCAAGCTGAGAATTGTGGATTTGTTGGTCTGGTGAGAAGTCTGGAGGAAATGAGCAGCTTGATTAGCACTCAGGGCTCTGTTTGGGAGTGTAACACCTGAGTCACAGCAAGGCAGAGAGTTCTCTGGGGGCTGAGGCAGCAGCTGCTGGAGTCCAAAGCAGAAATGGGTTGGAAAACCCATCATGGGCATTTTTCCCAGCCATGCCCTTGGCACAAGCCCTTCCCTGCATCCCCAGGGTCCTCACCTGGCTCTAGGGGGGACCCAGCAGCCTTTGGCATTGCTTCCTTGGGGCAAACTGTGAGGTAAAGGACCTACAAGGGTGCAATAATGATGATTAATTAGCACCAGAACTGCTGACAGGAATGACCAGGCACTGAATGCCACATCCATCTCCTCTGGCATCTTGGTCAGCCCCCAGAGCAGCCAGGGGATGACTGTGCTGGGTCATCCCTGTGCCTGGAGGTGCTGTGGGTATGCCCAGTGCAGAGAGAGGTGTTCTGGGTACAGCCCTGGGATTAGGGCCAGCTAAAATTCCCTGAAATTCCCTACAACTGCCAGGTGTGGCTCTTCCCACACCAGAACCTGGCAGGCAGTTTGCAGGCACTGGGTTACCCCGGGGGGATGGCAGGTGAGCTGGCAAAGGTGACAGAGCAAGTCATTGTCGGAGCGGAGAATTCCACTGGGATCTTGCACTTCCATCCTCGGCGTGAGAGTGGTTTTTTTAGCTCCAGCAGAACCAGCAGCCCCCTCAGTGAGACCCTTCAGCTCTTGGGAGAGAGGCCCAGAGTGGAGATGCCGAGGCTGGTGATGGCTCAGGGCATTGCCCATCAGCAGATAGGGCTGGGCAGGGCGATTGTGGTGCTGTGCAATCCCCTGCTGCTCACAAGAGTTTGGCAGCAGCTCCTCGACTCAAACCCACCTGGCAGCTCCAGCAGTAATTGGAAAGATTTGTCTTCCTTAAACATCCCGCTTTCAGCAAGATTTGGGAGCGTGGCTGGGAGCTGGAGCCTGCAGGAAGGATCTCAAGGACTTTGTGTTAAGGGAGAAATTGGGTAAATGCTGGAGGCTTTAAGACAGCTGCTGTAAATCTTCCCCACCCCGTTCCCAGCATGAACTGTTCTGTTATTTCTACTAAAAAATTGGAATTCTTGTCAGGTGGGCAGAACCTGAGAGGGGAAAAAAAACAAACCATCCCTCCCCAAATCCCTCTTTCCAGTTGTTGAAGAGAACAAGAGAAACAATTTAGAGGGACTTTTAGCTCGAGTATGTCCCTTCTTCTGCAGGTTTGGCCAGAGTTTTGATGCTGGGAGAGGGAAGGGCACATTCCTGCTCGGAGCCAGGGCTTCTGGAACTGGTTTAATTGTACTGAGGGCTCCAAAGCCTTTCCCCAGGAGAGCTGGAGGGATCTTCATATTCAGCTCCCCAGGCATTGCTGCCTGCTTTAATCCCTCCTCTCCACAAAGTCATTTTTTAACCTAATTACAACCATTACAACATAAACTATCTCCTCTAATTACCCCTCAGGGTAATCACCCACCTTCTGAAGCCCTCGGTGCACATCTTTTATTCAAACCCCTGATTTTAGTCGGGTTTTCCCTTCTCAGTCTCAACAACTGGGACAGGCACGTGCTGCTCCTTCAATAAACCAGAGCAAAAGATGGAAAAACCCCTGAACATCACCCTGGGGACCAAGTCCAGCCAGTTATTGGGGTCCTAAAACATGTGTTTTACGCCGTGAAACATCAAAGAAATGATCCTCCAGCTGGAGGAGAACAGAAATAAAGATAAAGAGAAGGTCGTTTCGCATCTCCCAGCTCAGAGCAGCCTCTGTCAGTTATAAGCTCTATTTTCCAGCAGTAAAAAGAGAGGTGTGGAACTGGGTGTGATGGTGGGAGCTGTGTGTCAGACAGACTTTCAGGTGTAGGGGGTTATCTGTGTCTGGGTTAGAGGTTCGTGGCTTTATTTCTGACTGTTCCTTGTGGCCACGCTCAAATCTACCCTTTCAGTCCCCAGCCCAGGCGGGAAATCAGAGTATTTTCTGGGCTTTGCTTCCTGATTTTCTTGCCTTTTCCAGGTGTGCAGCTGCTCAGCACAAGCAAGGGCTTTGCATCTCGGTACCAGGGTGATAAATCCTGGCTCTTTACACCGAGGGCTTTCCAAAAGCCCCGTGTCAAAGCCAGCTCTGGGGCTGTGATCTCATTAAATCTCCCTTTAAAATCACCTGTCAGTCTGGGTCTGGGGGGAAAAAAAAAAAAGGAACCAAAAGGAACCAAATCAGCTTTTCTCCTCCTCCTGCAGAGGCTGAGCCCTCTGGATTCCTACAGAGAGACACTTTTAAGGCTCCTTTCCCCAGTTTTGGGAGCTGCATCGTTGATGCAGGGACAATGTTGTGCTGAGTTGCACTAAACAAGAGCATCCTGAGAGGGACTTTCCACGTGGCTGGGCTGGGAGGGCTGAGTCAGCAAAAAGCAATGCTGCAAAAGGCAGGTGCCAGCAGGAGGTTCCTCCATAAAATGTGGTGGTTGGGTTATTTAGGCCAAGTTGTTCGTTTGCTGTGGACTCGTGGCCGAGGGGGAGACGTTTTCTGATTGAGAGGATTGGGATTGTTCAGCCTGGGGTGACCTAGTTGTGGCTTTCCAGGACCTGAAGGAAGCCTAAAGAAATATGGGAAAAGGACTATTTACAAGGCTGTGTAGTGATAGGACAAGGGGGAATGGCTTTGAACTGAAAGGAAGTAGGTTTAGGTTGGATATTAGGAAGAAACTCTTCCCTGGGGAAAGTGAGGCCCTGGCACAGGTTGCCCAGAGAAGCTGTGGCTGCCCCTGGATCCCTGGAAGTGTCCAAGGCCAGGTTGGATGGGTTGGAGCCACCTGGGCTAGTGGAAGGTGTCCCTGCCCATGGCAGGGGGTGGCACTGGATGGGCTTTAAGGTCCCTTCCAACCCAAACCATTCTGGGATTCTCTGAAATCTGACACAGAAGTTTGTGGGGAGCAAGAACTGAGGTCCCTAAACAACTCAGGAGGCAGCACATGATGGATGATGACAATTAAAACAAGAGTGTGTGGATGGAGGAGGGTGGAAAACCTCCTCCCTGGGTCACACTCCGTGCTGTGGCCGTGGGGAAATGCCAGGGAAAGGAGCTGGAGTTGTTTCCATGAGTGTGTGGGCCCAGAGCTGCTGTTCTGGGGGGGTTTCCCACCATTTCTCGTGGGGTGAGCTGGCCACAGTCCCTGTCTCAGCTCTCAGCCGTGGTCCCTGTTGTGCCTCAGAGCCAGGGATGCTCCGGGATGCAGGGCCCTGTTTCCATGGCAATTGCTGGGACTAATGAATAAGGATTGTGTGCTGGTGAATGGGAGCTGTGCAGGAGCTGGCACAGGACATGCCGTGCCCTCACCCTCCAGTCGGGTCCCAAGGGAGGGCAGGACATCCCCCCCCCAGAGTAGGGCAGTGCCCTTCAGTTCCTCACTTTGGGGGGATCCACCTCAATTTTCCCGCTTTCCTGGCTCTTTTTGGGAGAGCCTGGTGTTGGAACAACCCCTCTGCAGACCTTGTGTTGTGGATGGGGAGGCTGCAACACCCCCCCCACCCCCCATTCCCCTGCACCAAGGCACGGATGGACCCACTGGAAATGGCATTTTTAAGGGCTGATCCCATGGAGGAAAGATAAACTCCCGCTGCCTCTGGCTCCCCTTTTCCTGGCTGGTTTTTCCAGCTGAGTCTCCCAAACCTCTCCCAGAAGGGCTGGGATCAGGTAATGATTCTTCCCCAGACAGCTGCTCCCGGCCACGCCACCGGCACAGCACATCAGAGGGAGATGAAAAAGCGCACTGAAAATGGCAATTTCTGCCAACTTGGCAATAAAAATTTAAGAGGCTTCAATTAAGCAACAGGTTGGAAGATGGAGCAGTATCGTTTTAACGGGGCTCTAGTGGGCCTTGGAGACTCATCCCCTCGTAACACTTGCATGGGACAGAGAGCAGCAGCTACCAGGAACTGCAGCATCCAAAGTGTAATTACAGAGGCAGGGAAATGGGACTCGGGTCTGGCAGCGGTTGCTCAGAAGCCCCTGTTTCCACTCAGGGCACAGGCAGTGGGATTGGAAAATGAGGAGCAATTAAATAACTCGATTTCTCATGTTTAAGGGTGGGCAGGCCCTGGCACAGGTTGCCCAGAGAAGCTGTGGCTGCCCCTGGATCCCTGGAAGTGTCCAAGGCCAGGTTGGACGGGGCTTGGAGCAACCTGGGCTGGTGGAAGGTGTCCCTGCCCATGGCAGGAGGTGGCACTGGATGATCCTTGAGGTTCCTCCCAACCCAAACCGTTCCATGGTTCTGTGATTCTTTGTTTCCTGACCCTTGCTCAGAGCATCTTCTCCTACCTCCTCCTCGGGTGTCTTAAACCTCCTGCTGGAAAAACGTTCACCCTCTGATTTCTTTCTGGTTCCCTCAATCCCACACACTGTCCCAAGTTGAATCCCTTGAGTATATCATCCAATTCTGAATTAATTCAACAATGAGAAGCCAGACAGGCCAGTAGCAGTGGCCACCCCCAAAGCCACCTTCCTTGCACCAGAGCTGGTGGAAGAAAACGTGGGGTTTGTGGGGCAGTGGTGGGGTTTTGGTTGGAGAACGGTGTCAGGAGTGAACCAGGGTGTTTGTGAAGGGATACAAAAGAAAAGGGGTTTGGAGGGAAGTGATGGAAATGAGTGAAGGGCAGGAATGGGGCATCTGAAGCGGCAGAGAGATTGGGAAGGGCACCCTGAGGGAGGGAGCTCAGAAGGGACATCAGAGATGTGAGTGAAGGAATGGCTTGGGGGCTCCTGCTCCCATTCACTGTGTGATGTGCATAACAGGACTTTCTTTAAAAAGATGGAAAGCTGAGCACAGGGGAAATTCAGAGTCCCAACTCCCACTGGGCAGCCTCCAAATTGGGCACCTCTGCAAGAGTTTGGCCAACGTGGCCCAGCAGATAAATGCAAGGGTGTCCAGGAGAATGAGGGGAAGCAGCTTTGCTGCCTGTGGATGTGCCAAGGGATTGACCAGGAGGGAGAGGGCAGAATTTATTGGAACAGGGCAGTGGTGGAGTCACCTCCCCTGGAGGGATTTAACAGCCATGTGTATGTGGCACTTGGGGACAGGGGTCAGTGGCGGCCTTGGCGGGGCTGGGGGAATGGTTGGACTCGATGATCTCAGAGGTATTTTCCATCCTCAACAGTCCTGTCTTATAAATCCTGTTATCTTAGGAATTTAAGACTGAGTTTGCACGTGAGCCACAGCTCCAGCTCATTCAGGGGAAGCAGAAGGGAGTTGTAGATGGTCAGTGCAGTAAATGCTGGGAGCAGCCACCCAGCAGGTCCTGGGAGCAAACCCAGGATCAGGCTCCAAAGGGGCTGCCCTTGTGGCTCTGCAGGAGGTTTCAGTATTGCTGTTCCATTTGCAAAATTATTTTCCAAAGAAACAGGGACCCAGAGCATCCTGGAGCTCCAGAGTCTCATTTTGCTCCTGGTGTCCACTCACCTCCAGCACCTGGCAACTCGTGGGCTGTGCCACATCCCCGAGCTCTGCTCAGGGGGAGCTTCCAGGGGCTGGAAGGGTTAAACCCTTGTCCTTAAAGTCAGTTCTGTAGTGCCTGCGTGAAGAAAGCAAATGGGAAGGAACACTGGCAAAAGGAGATGGCAAATAGAGAATTTCCAGCATCATTAACTGGGAGCCGGTGCCAGCGAGCCGTGCGTGCACTGGGTTTCTCATTTTACAAGTGCTAAAGCTGCCTGGGATCGGAATTCTATTAAAGTTGATGCTGTTTGATGTCTCATTAAAGAGCAGAGCTTCCTGGTTATTCTTTCATTTGGAGTAAAGTGCAAACAACTCCCCGTGGGCGGTTTGGGATGTTCAGGGAGGGGTTTGAATCCCTCCTTAGGTTCAGGTGGGGACTCCACATGTGGAGGGGGCAGGAGAGGGGCCGAGTGGGAGCCCAGATGCTGAATACATTTCCAAAGGCTGGATTCATGGCAACACTCTCAGGGATTGTTGGGGTGTCTGTGCAGGGCCAGGAGTTGGATTGGATGATCCTTGGGGTTCCCTCCCAATTGGGGATATTCTGGAATCCCATCAAACTGCCCCGACCTCGTGCTGGGAAATCTCCGCTTCATTTCCACGTTTCCCTTATGAGGTAAAACTAAACAGGCAGAAAAACCAGAGGTAGCTCTTAAAATCAGTGTAAGGAGAAGAGCTCTGTGGCTGCAGACAGAGCTCTGTGGCCAGGGAAAGGGCAGAGCTGTGCTGATCATCTCCCCCCTCCACCTTTGCAAAAGCATCTCTCCCCTTTTTTTCCCTCACGTTTCAGGCAAGCAGGATCCATCCTGCTCTCAGGGAGACCAGTCCAAGTTTGTTCCCTTTTCCTTTTCCTGACGGGTTTTCGTGACCCCCGAGAGCCGGGATCGAGGGGGGTTTTAAAAAGCATTTAATTCACTGATGAATTGCTAACGATTGCAAAAAGAGGGGTGAGGATGTGGGTTTGTCAACCTCAGTTAGAGGCTGAGGCTCTGTGAGCATGAGGCAGCACAGTGCTGGGGAGGGGTAGGTGCCCTTGGAAAGCTGCCATGGCAGTGGAGCAGAATTAGATCCTGCAGGAGCTGAGGGCAGGAACTGTCCCTGCTGCCTTTCCCCCTGCCTTGCCTTCTGCATTTATGTGGGGTTTTGGTTTTTTTAACCTTTTGGTGGCAGCAGAGCAGGTTGGAGGGGAGCAGCTCAGCATCCTTGGGCCGTTTCTGCTGATCCAACACTGGATCCCTCCCCGCCCCCAACCCCAAATTAACATCTTTGGGAAGAAAGGAGAAGGATTCTCTCCAGAGAAGCAGAGTCTGTGTGGCTGCACAGTGCCAGGGGAGAGGAATCAAACCCAATTAGTGTCACTATCTCATTGACACTGTTTATATGGCTGTGGTCTGTGGGATTGCCCCATCACGTGAGTTCCTGGCTCTTCCCGGCATTCCAGTGGCTCCAGTGCCACCATGGGCAGGAAATTCAGGTGTCAGATGTCTAACATGAGTTTGGGCAGCTCGCTGGGACGAAGGGCTTTGGATGTAAAGGCTTTGCCTGAGGTTGCAGCCCCGTTTTGGTGTGGAAGGGGCAAAGGGGAGCTCTTGCAGATGGACTCAGCATTGCTTTAACCCCAGGGCTTGCAGGGACTCCTGTGCCAAGGCAGGAGCAGGGATGGGGCTGGTGTGTTGTGGGGGAGAAGCCGTAGGGTCTGGAGGGAAGAAACTTGGGATCCTGCTCCGTTGGAAACCGTCTGCTAATGAATTTGCATTGATTAGAGCCTAATTAATCATTCAGTGATTGTGGATGTTGTGCCAGTCCAGGAGGCCAGGGCTGGACTCGTCCCTGAGGGAGGGAGGCCGTGTGGAAGCTGAACCTCTGATCCCCCCCCCCACCGTGGTGTGCTGAGCCCATCACCGACACTCAGAGTGGAATTTAAAAGGGCTTAAAAGATTTGTGTGTGGCTGTGCTTGGAAAGGAGCTGATACCATCTGAGCCCACGATTATTTATTCTCCTTTATCACACAACGTGCAACATATGGGCCCCTTCCTGCGCCGCCGATGACTAAACGATGGCATCTGGTGCTCCTTTATATCACAAGTGTAAAGCAAATGAGAAAAGATCCCTTCAGCCAGCTCTTTGCTATTGTCACAGGCACGCTCTGGGTGTTTTCATCCCGAGGTGCTTGCTTTGCTGGCTCTCAGAACCGCCCTCGTTCTGAGCCAGGCGTGTTTTCTCGGGAGGTTGAACGGCTGGGGATTGGTTTCTTTTTCGCTTTAGTGCCCCAGCTGGTCCCTGCAGATGGGATCCCACCTCACCTGCTGCATCCTCGCACCTGACAGGAGCGTTGTCTGCTCCTCAGGTGGGACCTGCTGAGCAGAGACGGGCACGTGTTGCTCCCAGCAGCTGAGGAGCTCTTGGTTGCTGTGGCTTCTCAAGGCAGCTTGAGCAGCAGCCTTGGATGGAGGCAGATTTTGGGAATGGCAGAGCTCACAGAATCAGAGGATCGTGGGAATAAGACCTCCAGGATCATCAGCCTTTGACAGAATCCCTGACCATGCCCATTAAACCAAACTGCCCCTTGATCTGCTGGGGCTGAGCATCAACTGCAGGGTTTTCTGTCTCATTGGCACTGGAGGAGTGAGGGCCCAGCCCTGGAAGTGTCCAAGGCCAGGTTGGACGGGGCTTGGAGCAACCTGGGCTAGTGGAAGGTGTCCCTGCCCATGGCAGGGGGTGGCACTGGATGTTTTTTAAGGTCCCTTCCCACCCAAACCATTCCATGGCTCTGTGCTCTGTTAGGAGCTGGGAGCCAGCACAGTGCCCAAAGGCACAGCAAGCAAAGTGCTGCAATTAGCAAACCACTCTGGATTCCTGGGTGGCAACTGTTCAGGGCAGGATTGTCCCTAGAGAAGGAATTACTTTGGCTGAGTTGGGAGCTTATCCAGCCCCTCAGGGCAAGATGACCCTCAGGAGCCTGGGATCTTCCCCAGCCTCTCCTGTAGCTTCCAGGTGTTGTGCTGCTCCAAGGTAGACCATTCCCACACCCTGCTGTCCTGACCACAGGACATGTCCATCCCAACATCTCACCTTTCTCTTCCTGGCTGCAATTTAAGCCCATTCTGGTTTTTTTTTAACAGCTGGGGTGGTTCATGAAGTCGAAGTCATTGGGAGCTTTACCAGCACCACAGGTGAACATCTCCTCACAGGTGCTTTGGAGACCTGGAGCTCTGCTCCCACTGGAGGTCTCAAGGGGCAGAACCAGGACAGAGGATGGACTCCAGTGGCTCCAACCATGATGGATTTGTCACAGGTCCATGCCTGCAGGATTCCTGGGGTTTGTCATTTATCCAGCAGGATCTGCAATGTGCCCCCACTTCCCAGACCGTCTCTTCTCTCCTCCCTTCCCCACGTGTCCCCGGGAGAAACCAACCCAATCCTCGCCACAGGTCCCCGGGGCTCGCAGTCCCATCAACATATGTTTACTTATTTATTTTAGGACGTGATTGATGTTACTACATTTGTCGGAGGAATGTTTTTGTTCTGCCAACGGGTGCAGTTGCCAGCACAAAACGTTCTGTGTTTGGAGCAAAGCACAGCAAATTGGCCGCTGCTTTCAAACAGGAGGGAGGGGTGGGGGATGCTATTTTCTGCTCTCCAGCAAGAGGAGTGCAGAGCACTGAGCAAAGAGAAAGAGAAACAGGGACTGCTACCAGGCTGCA